CTTTTTCTAAACCGATGCAAAAAAAAACACAGACTGAGGCGGATTCGAAACCACACCACAGCAGTTCAATGCACCACGCGGTAGCCACCCCTCCACTTCACCTTTTGTGATCATGTACATGTTCTTCCCTCTTTTCTTCTTTATTTCATCTTTCCTTTTTTTCCCTTTTCCATTTTTCAAATTCGATGAAAAAAGTTGACCGGATTTTATGAACTTTTGTCCAACTTCCATGAACTTTTTAAAAATTTGATGAACTGTTTTTTAAGTTCGATGAACTTTTTCAAATTCGATCAACTTTTTCCCAAATTTGATGACTTTTTTCAAATGTGATGAACTTTTATTTCAAATTCGATGATTTTTTAAAATTCAATGAAGTTTTTATAAGTCGATGGACCTGTTCAAGATTTTGAACTTTTTCAGGTTCGATTAACTTGTTTCCAACTTCAATGAACTTTTTTCAAATTTGGTGGACATTTTCCACATCCGATCACGTTTTTTAAGACGATGAACTTTTTTCAGAATTGATGAACTTTTTACAAATTCATGAACTTCTTTGCAAATTGATGAATTATTTTTCAAAATCAATGAACTTTTACAAATTTGTGTACTTTTCTGAATTCAAAAACTGGAGCCGGTTTTTTTCGTGAACCAACAACACAATACAACAAAAAAAATGCGAGCAATGTTGTCGAGTGAAAGAAGCAAAGCGGGACCAAAGCGAGGGAGCGATGGTTCAATGGGCCGGCCCACAAAGGGGGCGCCTGTTGGTGCTAGTTGCTCGCAGTGGCGCTTAAGGCGCCACTTAGGAGCTCCCCTAGATCATGGCATATAGGCACCTAAGCACACTGGCCCAGTCAGACAGATCGAGGCCAACCATGGGTATGGAGATACCAAGCCTAGAAACTTAACATGCTTTTCATTTTTCTGCCAACGAGACCATTCAAGGCGTGAGAGCTATATCTTACTTATACGAGTTTGAATCTCGTCCCCCCCTGAAGCACGCACATATAGAGTTATCCGAGTAGCTCAGCTCGCTCGCTCACTCATCGGCCCACATACTGGTTTTTGGTCCCTTTTTTCTTTTATTTTTATTTTCCTTTTGATTTCCTTTTGGTTCTTCATCTATTTTTATTTGATTTTCTTTTTCCTTTGTTTTTTACACCAATTTTTTCATTTCTTTTATGGGTTTTATTGGTTTCTCTTTTCAGTATTTTCTTTCTTGTTTCACTGGGTTTTTTGGTTTTCTTTTTTTCGCTATTTTTGTTTTCATCCTTTTCTTCTCTCGGTTTTCTTTGTTTTGTTCCCAACATTCACTTTTTCCATTCCCTTGCATGGATTTTCTTCAGTTTCCATTTTCTTTTCATGGTTTAATTTGTTTTTTCTCAGTTTTCTTTGGTTTTGGAAGTATGTTATTAACATTCTTTTCAAAACATGTTTTTGCTGACCACTTTTCTTTCATACATACTAAACCATTATCGCATACATCAACCATATTGTTTATACATGTTTTGCATTTTTCAAAAACATGATTAAGGTTTTTCTAAAATAGATGTGTTTGATGACTACATTCTTCCATACATATTGTACATTTTTTTTATTAATAGGGAACATTTTCTACACACGTTTAATATTTTTCAAATACATGATGAACATTTATTTAAAAATATATGTTTGATTTTCATATACATTGTAATAGAAGTTTAATATTTTTTATATACTACCTCCATTCGGAAATACTTGACATGGTCTTAGTTTAATTTTGAACTAAAACCATATCAAGTGTTTCCCGACGGAAGTAGTATATTGTTAACATTCTTTTATACACAATCCACATTTTTTTATTTAAATACACATTCAACATTTTTCATGCACATCATAATATATTTTTATACAAAATTCAACATTGCTTTAGGAGCTGATTTTGTATGTGTTTGATGACTACTTTATTTCATACACACTGTACATTTTTTGTTTACATAGGGACATTTTTCCATGAATTTTCTAAATATATGTTGAACATTTATTTGATACACGACCATTTTTTTAGAACTAGCAAAACAATAAAATATTTATGTACATGTATGCTTAACAGAAGAACCAAAAAAGATAGCCGCCTTTTTTTGTTTTCTTTTTTTGTTTCTTCGTCGATTTTTCTTCTGCTTTCCTTTGGTCTTCCACCGGGTTTCCTCATTTCTTTCACATTTTTTACTGGTTTCTCTTTTCTTTCTTTTTCTTTTTGCTTTGTTTCTTTGTTTCATTAATTTCTTTTCGTTATTTTCTTTCTTCGTGCTACTTTGTTTCTTCTGCCGGTTTTCTTTAGTTTTCTTTGTTTGCCCTCCAGTTTCGCTTTTTTCCATTCCATTGCATGGGTTTTCCTTGGTTTTCATTTTCTGTTTTGGTTCTAGTTGTCTTCCTTTCCCTGTTTTCGTCATCTCTTCAAATACATTATCAACATTTTCAAATAGATATCTTTGATGTCTACTTTTCTTTCATGCACACTATACATTTTTCGTATACATCAACAACATTTTTCTATATATGTTTAACATTTCCTCGATATATATGTTTGTTGAATACTTCGTTCCATTCATATTGTAATTTTTTGTACATGTTTAACATTTTCAGATACATGATTAACATTTAAACATAAATATGCTTGATGACTTCCTTTTTTTCATATACATTGTACTTTTTCTGTATATATGGGGAACATTATTTATACAAGTTTAATAAAATTATATGTTAAAAAAAGTTTCGGTACACTATCAGTATTTAAAAAAAAATTGATGTTCAGTTTTTTATATACACGTTTTACATATATATATATATATATATATATATATATATATATTCAACATTTCCTAAATAGATTATCATTTTTTGTTTAATCGCTACTTTTTTCTCAACCACATTGTACATTTTTTTGTATATATCATGAACAATTTGTGATGCATTTTTCAAATATATGTTGAACATTTTTCTTGATACATGATCATTTTTTTGTATAACTTGCAAAAGAATAAGATATTTAAGTACGTATATGTTTAACAGAAGAACCAAAAAAGATTAAAAAAAGTGATAGCTGCTTTTTAATATTTCTTTCATTTCTTCATTGGTTTTTCTTTGGCTTTCGTATTTCTTTGTTTTTCCTCCGGTTTTCCTTGTTTCTTTCATGGTTTTTACTTGTTTCCTCTTTTCTTGCTTTTTTTTCTTGTTTTTTCTTTGTTTACTTTCTCAGTTTCACTGTTTTTTTTTTTTTGCTTTTCCTTTTCTCTTTCTTGGTTTCTCATTGTTTCCTCTCTTGGTTTCCTTTCTTTTTTTGTTTCATTCTCGTGTTTCACTTTTTCCTTTTCTTTTGAATGGGTTTTCAGTTTTTTGGGGTTTTATTTTTTTTTCTTTATCGGTTTTCTTTGAGTTTTGAAATTTGTTATTAAGATTTTTGAATATATGTTTTTGATGTATGCTTTTCTTTCATACACACTATACATTTTTTGTATACATCGGAAGCATCCCCGCCCAAGGTAGGGCCTGAGTGGCACATTAGGAATGTAGTACCATTCCTCCCTCTTGCCACTTCTTGTTGGTCTCTATGAAAGTTCCCCTTAAATAGCCGAAAGCAGGAACCTTGCTAATTGATGTGGCACCGCACTCGCATGGCTCAGAGCATTAGCCAAGAGCTTGACGCAAAAATATTGGTGCCAGAGACCGAGGTGGGGCGTGCAGTATAAAAAAATGCATCACACAGCATGACGAAACACGCGATGTGCAATACATAATTTGGGGCAAGATGGTGAAGCTGAAGGCCGTATAAATGAAGGTGGCCCCTGAGGAGGGGATGGATTAAAAAGTTGTGGTCGTGCAAAAGGTGGGGAATGAAACATACCCACTCGTTCTCAGCTGTGTGCGACCTCGAGATCGTGACAAACCAAGAATCACCGTTCCTGGTGATCAGCGAGGAGCGTGCAGAGGCGCATTCCGGCGACGGAAGATACGCTTCGGCCGACCGGTTTAGCTAGGCCTGGTCCATGGTGGATGGCCTCCATTTCCCATCTGTCAAAGAAGGATCATCGGGCCCCGCTGTCAGTTTCATCTCGACGGCTGTCGCCTTCCCTCCCTTGCCATGCTTCCCTGCTTCGGCCATGCCATCGGGGGTGGGGACAAGCTAAAACGCTACTCTTGGGTGAGGAATGCGGGAGGGCACGAGGGGTCTGGTGTGAGAAAGAAGAGGAACAGGGGAATGAGAGCGTAAAGCTTTTCCCTTGACGCCTCCTTTTTGTATGTAGAGTAAAAATGAAACGACAATGGGTAAAATGTGCCGCATGGCAATAAATCATCTTCTTTACCTATGTCTGCGCGTTAATTACGCCCAGGGATCGTGGAGGCAACTATTTAATCACCAGGCGTTTTGATACACACAATCTCTCTTGATGGGACGTGGTCTCGTGGGCCCCATGTCATGTTTGCACGTCATATTGACCGTTAGGTCAAGAACACCACGTGATTAGGTGGGACCGTAGACAAGACATGTCTATGTTGTCAAAACCAGGCCGCATAATTATCATACTGGAAGCGCGGGGATACTCCGCCGTGGATCAGTTGCATAAGAACACATCCGATGTGCAGTTTGGGTCCAATTATACCCGCACCTATGACCGCAAGGGGAAGGGCCTGACGAGGAAATGGTGATTTCCTTTTCCCTGCTTTGTCTGTTTGCTTTATCTACCTTTTTATGTTTAAAACTAATACTATCCGCCGATGAATACTTATTCTTTTGAATTATGTTCATTTTTTGCTGTTGTGCTGATCTGAATTTTATGTTTTACGTTGCATGAATTGCATGGATATGAGGATTGGGATACGAGAGAGATGGCTGTTGAGGCAACAAAATCCAGAGTGACCGATCATGGTCCGTGGAACGTTTGAGGGACCGTATTAGCTACTCGCAGTTGTAGATGCTCTAAGTTAATATTGGTAATCTTAAATTACGTGCAAGTTGCAAGTTAATATTTATAATTAAGTAAAAGGGGCATGTGTTGGATTTTCTATTTGTCATTATTGTCTACGCCGCAACGTGAACTCTTGTTCGACAAGAAAGAAAATGAAGCAGAAGCTTCATTGCACGGCTTGAAAATACTTCATGATCAACGAGCAGAGATCTGCATGCTTGTACGACAAGCACCGGTGCCCTAGATATTTCTCCTATACCACCATGTAAACAAACACCTTGGACCCGCCCAATCAACCAACGAAGATCTGCATGGTTGTGTCACCGTGTAAACAAACACCTTGGATCTGCTCCGATCAACTTTTAGCAAATAACTAAATTGGTGAGAACAGAGGCGACCCCACATTTTCATTGCAAGCTTAACTTTATTCATATCTGTAAAAAAATTAGGACATTTTAGAGAGATTAGTGCACTTGAACCCACAACTTTTTGTTGCCGGCACCACCGCTGGATGAGAACACCCACACCCCCAGGCTCCTTGGGAAAAGAAACTTCTTACTTGTTCGCAAAGAGCATCATCGAGGTAAAGATTGGTGTATATACGTCAAGAGGGGACATTGCACTCGATTTTAGCCCGAGACAGTGTCGACAGAAACTTCTTTCGAATACGAACCCAACAATGCTATGTTTGTGACGTCACGTGCAACTTCTATTTTGCTTGTCAATTCTACGGCGAAAATCTGACACAAAACCCGACGGGCCCGATAAACCCGGACGGAAGAAGTACTTCACTTGACTAGCTAGAAAATTTGGTCAAAGTTCTTGCTGCCCTATAACAATATTAACATTATTACTACCAAGAAAAATTACTTAGGTTCACATTACCAAGAAAATTTACTTGTTATTTTTATAGAAAGGAAAAAGTAACTAGTCCTCGCAGAGGAAGCGATGTGCGCCGCCGCCGGTAGGACGACTTGCCGTGTGCGTGCCGCCGCTTTTACACACGCTGACACATGCCACTGGCCCGTTCCCCAAGAAACCTCCCTGGATTATCATCATCATCATCATCGGCACAGGAACGCAACCAACCAACACACAAACAGAAAACCAAAAAAAAGCCAGCAAGATAGCATCGAAAACGTAGTATTATTGCTGCGCGTCGCACGCGAGCTGCCCCGCAGAGTTCAAATCCCCAACCAATTTCCCGAGGAGGGGCCGGAGGATCAGGAGGAGCGGCCGCCGCGAGCGAGCTCCCGGAATCCCTTTCCCGATCTGCGTTTCCCGGAGCGCTCCCCCCGGCGGAATCGAAGCTTC